GGAGAAGATCCATAGATGAGAGCTTTGGAAAAAAACTCACGACCGGCCCAATCGCAAGAGTTGCGGATCGGAGTCAGTCAGATGGAGGTCGCAGCATCACCATCGCGGCGGCGCAGATCCTGGCCCTGAGGGGAAAGGAGGATCAGGATTGAGGGAAGGGTGTGTGTGTGTGTGTGTGGACTGGACCCGCGTCGGATCTTGCGCATCACTGCATTCAATAGATGCGAGAACCGGGGGCTGGTGTTGGGAGCGAGAGATGCGCCTGCGAGCATGTCCGAGAAAAGGGTGACGATGACGGCCGAGACTGTTTGTTGGACGCAAAGCCTCGTTGCTTCATCGTCAAGGGGTTTGGGATCCGGATCGGCCTGATCGATAATCAAGAAACGCAGATGGCATACGAGGAGTCCACTCCAGGCGTCTCGTTGGGAAAAGGGCTGTGGCATTGGCGACGATGCCGGACGAATGCCTTTCCCGATTCGGGTGTGACCCTGAAAAGATCCAGATGGGACATCCCTTGCGGTTGGCTTCCATCATCGCGCATTTCTCTTTCTTTAGTGTCATGTCTCCAGACACACGCACACTACGTACAACACACACGAGGGCGGTTCACCGGTTTTTGGGGCTGCGTTACTTTTTCGGGGAGTTTTGAGTCTGGATCAGAAGTACAGGCAGAAATTCTAGCAGAACATTGCTTTTTCCCCCTTTTGCCTGGCCAGTTCTTAGTCACTTCTGACAATGACGGCGGGACGGGCAGTGACGGTGACGGTCAACCGTCAACGGCCGGGCTTTTGGTGGTGGGCTAGGCAGGTAAGGCGGGGCGGCCGGGGGTCCTCGACGCCCCCGGGGTCCCGGGGGCCCCCGCTAATGTGAGCTAGATGATGCGGGCTGAGGACGGTTGCGTCGATCGGCGATCCTTGCTTGAAGGGAGGGCGAAGGGGACGGCGACGGGGGGGAAGGTGGGGCGTGATGGGATGGAGTGAGCAGAGACACTGCGCTTCTGCGGGATATTTTTTCTTTGGCTGGGGCTTTTCTTTTGCCTGGCGTTGAGAGGTGAAAAGGAAGAGAGGGGATTTGCTTTTTCTGATGGATTGGGTATGGAGGCCGCTGCAGGACTAAGGTGCGGGCGGACACTGGAGGTGATGGGGGGGATGTGTTCGCACGCCCACTTCTTACTAGGAATCGGTTCGTGCATATATGGAGGGGGGCTTTTTAGAGGTTTGGGGGGGGGAAAAAAGAAGAGCATGTTGGTTGGAAAGTACGTAAGGTTACAT